CTGATCATCAAAATTACTATACGGTTTTTGTTAACTAAGTGTTACTGGAAATATATTTCACATAAGTTTTATCTGTATTAGATTGTGACAAACAACAAACCTTGGCCATTGTACAACTTGAATACAAATCTTGTAATCTACGTTAACATAACAACACCACATGTATACAGACATTTAGAAACAAAATACCGGTGAAATGTTGCTATACTATTACACAGAGTTACATTAAGAGATAAAAAGTCATTACTGTTTCTTCGTTTCATTCATAATCTAAAGTACAGACGGTACAGAAGCACGGTTAAAATCCATCAAAACTGTAATCACGTTACCTGTTTAGTTTGATGTAGAATATCAACAATCTGATAAACCAGTTAAAAGTATATAATCATTCAATGTTTAGAAGAGGTCATGGCGTAACTTTAGAACCACAAAACTGGCTTACCTGAGTAGGCCTGATAGTATGTGGTCAACTGTAAAGTATCACTGGACAATCGCGCACATTTCAATCACGCTACTGAACAAAATGTCTGTCATGCCATGAACTTTAGGTGCTTGGATGACTGCGCCAATGTTACTTCTGGAACCAGAGGATGGTCAGTGCCAAATGTATGTTACTCTTGTGTGTATACCGAGAAAAGATGATGCTCCTTTGGAAATGCGGTCACGTAGATTAGATAACGTAGATTACAAAGGCGCCCGTTAGCACCCACCAAACGTTTAAAGTGTAAAGGAAGGAAGAGAGAGTGAGTGAGTGAGTGAGGTGAGTCAGTGCGTGCGTGAGTATGGTTTTACGCCGCCTTTTGCGGGGGACACCAGAAATGGGCTTCACAGTGTAAAGAAAGAGCATCGCCTTCACTTAGTTATTACTAATGAATAGGTACATTCATTTTAAAACCCCTTTGGTGACACTGGGAGTACTGTTTTTTGTTTATCTTATGGTGGTCACGTAGATTACATCCAATCTCTGCAACTTTAAACCCGTGAAGCGTCATTGTGAGACATCGCCTGAAATTTAGAGGCTATGAGATTGATATTATATAGTCCCAATATAAAACTGTAAATAAGGCATACTATCCAATAAATACATATACCTTTTTAAATAATTACATGGTCATTTTCATGGGGTAACGTGGATTACACGTTTATGGAGACATCATATTAAACATAAATTCTAAAAAAAATATACCATATGCAGATATTTTCTGGGTATGGACGAAAGGGACAATACTTTAAGTCGAAAATGCAATCTGTTTTGTTCACACTAGATGAATATTTACTTTGTAATATTCACTCAAAATGTGTTACTATCGTAGGAAACATGCACATGAATAACAGATCATTAACAATTTCTATGTCTCGGGTACCTACCAAGCCTGTCGGCTAACATAAACATGACATGAACAGGTTGAATGAGTAAACAAGTAATGCGGAGACACGTAAAATTACAAAAGGTGCACATTTCGTGAGAATAGATGTTTGTTACGGGAGGTCAGTATAAATAATTGGGAGGGTCGTAATTTCTACAGTCACCCAGGATCAACATCTTGTGAAACATGGAACATAAAGACATCTTACGCTGATTGGCATACGTGTTTACAATGGTTACTTTCATACATGACTGAGTATATTTGTCAAGAGACCTTTAAGTTATCTAACAATTCTAGATTACACACGCACACGCACACACGCACACACACACACACACACACACTATACTCTGTGAATCGTATAAACATTTGTAAAGTTCCTCTATACAATAATATTATAAGATAAATACAAACCGAAATTCCGGATCATCGAGGCAAATTAAATATGCATAGATTGGTAACAAGCTAAAATCGTCCGGGAGGCGAGAAATCCGGATTATCGGGGTCCGGACTAACGGGGCTTCTCTGTACTGTAAACACATAAGCTGGCATTTCAAGGGAGATAATTCTCTATGCATTGTATAGACAGACAGACAGTCAGACAAACTGACAGACAATACTTCATTACCTTAAAAGAAATTCGTTTTGGATCACAGAGCTTGACAAAATACAAATGAATAACAACATAAAATATGAAATTATTAAAAACATGAAAAGATATAAATATGTGCTTGAATATATTTAAATGAATAAGATGATAACTGGACATTCAACATTTGCTTCAAATTGCAATACTTTAAGGTACAAAAGACGTTCGAGCTCGTTAAGTGATTGACACTCTATAGCGGCGGCCCGAAGGTAAAAGCTTGTACTCTTGATTTAAAAAATGTGTTGTGTCATTAATGATTTTTTCAGACGTTGAAAGTACTTGCCGCTCAAACAGAAGTGAAAGAATATCGAAAGTGACCCCGGCTATTTTACGAGCTGTATTTACAATTTTGTTAAGTTTGGATTTGTTTTTGACTGAAAGAGACTCGAACCAGTACTGAGAAGAAAAATGAGTCTACTCTGAATAAAAGTTGTAGAAAACAACATCATAACAGACTGGGGAACATTAAAATATAGCAGTTTGCGCATTAGATGGAGGCGTTGTTGACATTTACTGTACAGGGCATCTGTGTTGGTGTTCCACGTTAACCTGCTATCAATAAAAGTTCCAAGGTACTTGTACTCAGTGACTGTGTCAGTTGGTTCATCATTAATGAACAAAGGTGGTACTGTTTGGGAGTTAGTTCTGAAATCAATACACAGTTCTTTTGTCGTTTTCACATTTAAAATCAAATGATTCTCTATACACCATGATGTGACAACATACTGTGTATTATATATACATAAGCTGGTATTTCAGGAGAGATAAAATTATGCTTCTAGTTGTTTCAGAGTGACATTTCCTTTATATATTTTATACCCAAATCGTATGCTACTGTTAACACATGAGTTATAACTTCCAAGGACATGACTAATAAACATGTTTATGTTGTCTTAGAACTAGATTATCTAGATTAACTATTAGTTTTGAGTTGTTGCATTTGTTTCTATATATAAATGCCATTTTTTCCTACAATCGGTTTCGAAATGGCAAATCTCCAGAGCGGAGTTTGTGACATCCCAGAGAGGTGGTCAGCAATTACTCTATGCAAGCGCAAGTGACTGAAAGTCAATCGTAAGGTTTCTAAACACTGGAATTGTGTACTTAAAGGTTGCAATGGAAGACGCAGTACTATCGGAAACCATGTGGTAACATAAATGTTGCAATGGAAGACGCAGTACTATCGGAAACCATGTGGTAACTTAAAGGTTGCAATGGAAGACGCAGTACTATCGGAAACCATGTGGTAACTTAAAGGTTGCAATGGAAGACGCAGTACTATCGGAAACCATGTGGTAACTTAAAGGTTGCAATGGAAGACGCAGTACTATCGGAAACCATGTGGTAACTTAAAGGTTGCAGTGGAAGACGCAGTACTATCGGAAACCATGTGGTAACTTAAAGGTTGCAGTGGAGACACAGTACTATCGGAAACCATGTGGTAACTTAAAGGTTGCAGTGGAGACAAAGTACTATCGGAAACCATGTGGTAACTTAAAGGTTGCAGTGGAAGGCGCAGTACTATCGGAAACCATGTGGTAACTTAAAGGTTGCAGTGGAGACACAGTACTATCGGAAACCATGTGGTAACTTAAAGGTTGCAGTGGAAGACGCAGTACTATCGGAAACCATGTGGTAACTTCAATTGTTTACAGTCATCCCCTTTTGAGAACGAAGAACACATCCGACTTCTTTGCCGACTCAAGCGGCATGTCAAGACTAACACATCATCTGTACAACATTTGCCACATACATGCTTGTCTCTGTTGTATTGATCAAGTTCATTCTTCCTTGGGTGAGTTCATTATTATGCAGGTAGGGATGCATTTGTATGATATTCAGTGGCGCATAAATGTTTTTGATAATAGTGTAGGCGATATAAGGTGTAGGCCAAATGAGGACAAGCGACCTATCTTAACTCCGCAGTTTTTCATAGGCTTACGAATGTCGTAGTGCTACGAACGATTTGTGGATCGGAACCCTGATGAGCAAGTTCACTACAGGCTGACGGTAGTTGGGATGACGTGACGTAATCAAAGCGTGGCGACACGAAAAAGGATGACGTAATTTGTCATGTATTTTCTCATTTAGGAAGCAAAGGGTTCTCAGGCCTCTTCGCGGTAAACCTGTTACGGCACATCTTAGTCCATTCAAGAAATTATGTATGCTGTTCATCTATTTCAGTTTGGAATCAATGTATACATTTAGTTAAACATACGCGATTAATTGGTTCATTGGAAATATTTCCTCAGAGATGCCTAGACATTTCAATCATTATACACATTCGCCCAGAACGACTTACATAAGTTCCAAATTGAATAAAACATAAAAATACATGGACTATGCTAGGTCTGTAAACCCAAAACATAACGACATGGACTTACACATTTAGTCACTGGAAGATGAATGGAATTTTCAAATACTTTGGAACTGTTATCATAATAAATTAGATTGACACTTGCTGAAGCCAGTTTGTAAAATACCTGAAATATTAGGGTCTCTAAGATGACCACATTAATTTCAAGATGAAGTTGTTTTTATCTTTGTTGATCAATGTGAGTATACACCCTCATACTATCAACTGCGCTTTTGTGTGGCGTGGCAAAGGTCGCGAACCAGTCAAAAATGATGGGATGTCATCCAGGTCCCCAAGGAAAAATAATAAGAAAATCAACATCAGTCCCGGGACATTGCTCTAGATCAGGGTCCCTTCACTTCTACAAACACAAGTACCATAAGTCTAATGCATATCTCGCCACACAGGATGGGTGGTGGCTCAGTTCAGCTTAAGTAAGTTCAGATTGTGCGATTGAACATGTGATACAAAACTTTCATGGAAAAAAAGACGAGTGTTTATTCTTGAAACTTCATCTGTTGAACCCCGCAAGCTCACATATCTCTCTGTGAGGGCCGTGTGCAACGTCTTTTGTTCGAAAGATATGTATACAGCTGCATCTTTATAACACGAAAGTCATCGAGAAGACGACAGTAAGTTTCCACCATCGATAATCGATAATGCCTCTGTGTGTTAAGGGTGCTTAGTGAGGATTCAATACAATTTGATCTTTCTGTTGACTCTGCTAAGAGAACAGCCGATGATGAGAGGACCTTTTCTACTTCTGGTTTTACCAACTCTTGCTGTAGCTGAAACATGTCTCTTTTTATCTGCGAAGAAAGTTGATGCTTATAATGGCAAGAAAGTTTCCCAGTCAGAAATGTGGGCTGTGAACAGTCTGACAAAGGTTGAATGTCTGTTGAAGTGTCTACAGGAAAAGTATTGCGTCAGCTTCCACTTCAGTCCTTCTGGACCAGTTTGCGTGGCTCTACGGGAACGGTTTGAGGGATCCAACGTTGCCTCCACGGACGCACTTTGGTATCAGCTCTATCAAACCAACAGACGTGAGTAAAGAAATAATTTGAATGTTTTGGGGCAATCGAGACAATTTCAACTTATTTGCAGTGTTTATTATTAAATGATTTTGCCGACGTCAGATGTAGTGTATCCAGTTCAATGTAAGTAAATACCACTTTGATGTGTAGATGATTTTCTTTGAGATGAGCATGAACATAAAGAAACATACCGGGACGGGCATTTGGGTTTTATCACTCGGGTAATTGCCCATAATCTACATGGGACACATCCTACACGGTTATAGTCTTCAGCTTCACCACGGTGCCATGTTAGAAATCTTCTTATAGAGTTCTTTGGCATCAGTTCTGCGATGCTCAGAAATAATGTGTTCGCTCCTTCCCATTCTAATTAATTTCATTACATTGAAGCTATGGGTGTGTTTTTTCCAATGTCACAATGATTTGGTGGGTGAAATGTTTATATTTTCAGAAATGTATAACTTTCGAGTAATTCTAAACATACTTTGTCCCAATTTGTAGTCGCAATCAGCAAACGGTACTCCAACAGCTGGTGTCTGCCTTGTACGCTTTTACAATAATTATCGATTTCCACAAATATGCTGAGTCAAAATAAAAACTTCACTATTCATCTTTGTTAATATGAACTGTTATAGTAGACAGTTTTAGGGTATCAGAATATTAATTCCCAAGTATCGACTCAAGAAAAAACTCACCACAGCATATTTGAGTCAATCCAAACACCGTGCACCCCACAATAGTGCTAAAGCGTAATTTTCATGTGCCACTGGTCACGTGATCTTATGATTGCACATGCATTTGATTGCACATGTTCACATCAACTGAACAAAAATGAAAAAAAACAAAAACACTGTAAAGCACTATTCAGAACAGCCAGTTCTTATTCAACTGTGTAGCGTGAACGTGTCGTTGACATGCTGGAAGCGGGAACGTCAGTAAGAGACGTTGCATGGACAGTGGGGAGGAGCCTGTAAATAATTTACAGATTTAACTGCAAAAAACTGGCACCACTGCTGATCGCCCAAGGCCAGGTCGACCACGTGTTACGTCATCTTCGTAACCGTTCTGTGACGGCTACAGGAACCAGAAATAAGCTGTTTAGGGGTCGACTGTCGGCACAATCCGAAAACCGACTGGGAGCTGCTCACATTCGTGTTCGACGATCATATCGCGCAACCATTTTGACACCATTACATCGACACCCGCGATGAACTGGAATCGTGTTGGTTTCAGTGATGAATCAAGATTTACCCTCAGATTCGCTGATGGTAGGATGAGTGTGCGCAGGCTAAGTTGACAGGAAGTTGACAGTTTTGAAGGGCGGAAGTGTCATGCTTTGTGAGTGAGTGAGAAGAAAAATGAACATATCAAAGGAATAATGAAGGAATGGTATCGAATACTTGATTGCGCAATATGAAGATGGCACTGAATTTATCTAAGATGGTTCAAACAAATCTTTCGAAGTTGTAATTAATACACTAGACATATATGCACAAATTTCTGGACTGAAGATTAACTATGACAAATCAGAACTTGTTTGGATAGGAAGCCATAGAAATAGTAATGTGAAATTTAGACCAGATCTAAACCTACTTTGGAACCCTGAGAACTTCAGGATTCTTGGAACAATAGTTTCAATTGATGTAAACAAGATAAACATACTCAATTATGAAAGTAAAATCTATGAAATTGAAGAAAGCATTAAAAGATGGATCCAAAGAACCATAACTCCGTTGGAAAAATGCTATAATAAAGGCCCTTGCTCATTTCCAAATTAAATTTTCTCTTTCTCATTCTTCCCAACCCACCCACAGACTTTCTTAAGAAGTTGAATGATATTTTATTTAGTTTTCATTCGGATAACAAGCCTGGCAAAATGAAATGGTCAGTGGTTTGTAAGCCAGTTGCTGAAGGAGGGCTTGTGATGATAAATATATTTACATATGTTGATGCTTTGAAAATAACATGGATTAGAAAATTACTTTGTGCTGATTATGAAAGGAAGTGGAAAAACCTCTTCATTAAAGATTGTCCTCAGAGTTTAAACCTATTAGTATTTGGCAATGAATATCCACTAATACTTTCAGAATCGCTGCAAAATAAGTTTTGGAGAGAAAGTATGAATGTTTTTGCTAAATATTGTCATAATACTATACCTTGTACTTATGAACCTCTCTTATGTAATAGAAATGTACTTGCTGATACTAGATCTGTTAAAAGTAAGAAGCTCCTTGAACATGGCATTGTCAATACTTCTGGCCTAATGAATGATAATGATTTTACGTCTTTTGAACAGTTTTGTCATGCATTCTTTAATATCAACTTTCTGGAATTTCATGGAATTTTAAAGGCAGTTAACAAATATCGGAAAAGCTTTGGCATAGAAAAAACATCTGAAGTTATATTAGATAACAATACGTGCCTATGTATCAAGAATCTTTTCTTATGTAAAAAGGATAAAAAAAAACTAATATTTCCTGTTAACAGATAATAATGAAAGACTAAAAGTAATTGAGAAATGGGAAGAAGAAATCTTAATCAATATAAACTGGCTTAACATATTTATCAAACCATTCGAAACCACATTAGACCCCATACTAAGATGGATGCAATTCAGGCTGCTTCACAGACATTTTTCCTGTAAACACCCATTTGATCAAAATGCACATTGTTGAAAGTAATCTATGTACTTTCTGTGGGGCAGAACCTGGATCAATACTTCATCTGTTCTGGAATTGTAGAGCAAGCAAGAACTTTTGGCAAAATTATTATATTGGCTGAAGCTGAACTGTGTACACACAGGTACTTTATATCTTCATTGTGATTTGATCCTTTTTGGGTGTTCACCCACATGTCATACCGACGATACTTTTGACTTGATACTACTACTAGGCAAATACTATGTTTATAAATGTAAGCTGAGAAAGATAATTCCTCTATTGTCACATTTCAGGAAAGAGTGAGTGAGTGAGTTAATATTTAACGTCACATCAGCAATATTTCAGTCATATCGTGAGAACATATTTGACATTGAAATGGAATATATGTATATTATAAAACCTGTCGACGAAGGACAGTAAAACAACTAGAATATCACAATTAGAATTAAAACTAGCGTGGAAAGTTAAAACTAATAACACTATTTGGACAATACAATATAGAAACAGGCTATAGATCGCCAACAACAGAAGGTAGATCACCATACTAGGGACCATGGGGACTTACAGTACCTTTGCTACCTGCATGGACCCTAGTTGGATTTACACCATCCCTTCAGCTGCTGGCGATTGTAAGAAATGGTAGCCAAAATTTAAATAACAAGAATACTACGTTTAAAAATCCTGGTAAGTTTAAATTGACTTTGATCATTTTGGGACTTACGTACCCTTTCAGGAGGACAATAATTTTACGATACTTCAACCCCCCTTGAGGGTACAGCCACTAACAATCATAAAATATTTATCTATTTACAAATCAGTTAACAAATCTCATTCTTTTTAAAATGCAATAATTAAATGAGAACTAATATCATTAAAAAGATCCTTCATAGTTTGTGATTTGAAATAGATATCCCTTGTGATGGAATATTCAACACAGTCAAGCAGGACATGCTTGACCGTGATTCTTTCATCACAATGGATACAAAACGGAGGATTCTCACCTTTCAATAGGTACTCATGAGTATATCTTGTGTGGCCAATACGACATCGTCGTATGATGACCTCTTCAAATCTGGACTGACAACCCAAGTAGGTGTGATACCTACTTAGGTGTCCCACTTCTTTTGCATCAGATCACAGATGCAAGTTCTAATGCTAGCTTTGTAATCAGAGTATGGAATAAGAAGTGGTGTCAGAGATTTATTGAGTGCTGCCTTGGCAGCAAAAATCGGCCATTGTGTTCCCAGAAATGCCAACGTGGCTGGGTAACCAACAGAAGACGATGTCGTATTGGCCTGAAGGCAAGGAAGAGAATCGGAAAAGATTATGTATTGTTTATATTTAGGGTGTTTATTAATATATGTTAAGGCTGTTAATATTGCGTTAGCTTCTGCTGTGAAAATAGAGCTGTTATCAGGTAATCTAGAAGATATTGTTTTGGAGCCAATGACAGTGGCACAAGCTACTGCGCCACCATCCTTGGACCCATCTGTAAATGAGGATTTGTATGTATTATATTTATTTCTTAATTGACTAAATTCTTGTTTATACTGTAATTCATTAGTTTCTGACTTTTTAAATGTGGTTAATGTTAGGTCAACGTCTGGCCTAACCAATTGTCAAGGAGGAGAAGAAAGCAAACGGGAAGGAGAGATATTTTCTAGCTCAATAGCAGCAGCAGAAAGGCATGGTTTGACTCTTAGTCCCAGAGGCGGAACAAGAGAAGACTTTTTATTGTATAGATCCTCATAAAGAGGATTAAAAACATAGTTAAATGCAGGATTTGACTCATTAGAATATAGTTTTGTTACATACTGCAAGGATAATTTTATACGGCGTTGTGTAAGAGATGGCTCATCGGCCTCGACGTAGAGACTATCAACAGGAGAGGTTCTAAAGGACCCAAGACAAAGTCTTAGACCTTGGTGGTGGACAGAATCTAATAGTTTTAGGTTGCTTTTGCAGGCTCCACCATAAACGATGGAACCATAATCAGGTTTGGAACGTACCAGTGAGCAATAGAGATGTAGGAGGGTAGCTTGATCCCCTTCCAACTTAGAATTGGAAACGACTTTCAACAAGTCAAGTGCCTTCAGGCATTTAGTTTTAAGGGATTTAATATGTGGTAGAAACTTTAAGTGTGAGTCAAAACTAATACCCAAGAACTTGGCCTCCTTTACAACTTTGATGGGGGTGCCATTTAGAGATAGTTCAGGGTCATTATGCGGTTTGTATTTACGGCCGAAATGTATACAATTAGTTTTGGATTTAGAAAATTTAAAGCCGTTTTCAAGACACCATTTATTTATTTTGTTTAAACACAACTGCAGTTACCGTTCAATAGTATGC